GTGCAGCAGTTCACATTTCGACAATATATTAACTCAGTGAGATAATTTTATGAAGAAAAATACTACAGTATTAAAAGTAGTAAGCGTATTAGAAATGGTAAAAAAAAGACTAGGCACAAAAACAGTATAAGTTGGTATAGGGATACTTCAGGACTGAATTTTTAAGGGACGACAAAATATGAATACACCTGGACCATAACAGCCAAATTCTTCAACCATCATTTACGATAAAAGAGTGAGCTTAAACCAGGTAGTCTACACCTATTAACACTCCGCTCCAGTTGTCAATGTCTTCATGGACTGGTGCCAAGTCTTAATTTGACCCCCACTAGCTATCTTCTTGCCTAGTCCTACGAGACTAATACCAGTAACCTACGAATATCCGTTATTCTCAAATACCACGCTCTACCTGCAAACCAGCATTAGGAACGTAACCCGGGCGGTTATCAAACCCGTGCTTTAAGTGGAGTATGGTCAGAGTTAAAACATTTGCTCCAGCATAATTGCGTCTTCTACCAAGCCTCTCCAATGATGAATGATGATAAGGTCCATTTGCGTCCACCATCGAGTTGATTCTGGGGATCGCATTATGCTTAAAGTTGGTGCTTGATAGAAGTAAATGACTGTTTGAGGACAGTTGGAGCAGATGATTGTCGTTATGTGCTCGCTGATATGGGGCACCTTATGACTCATATAAACGTTTTGATTTGGTTTGGAATTCTTGTTTAGTTATGTAAACTACCGGCTACGATTACTAAGTCTGGGCGTCTAACTTCTTGAAGAAATTCAGAAAGCTTTCTGTAAACCTCACCTTGCTCTTCATTCGGATTGCCATCGGTGGAAGCATAAGTAGAGACGACGAAAAACAACACTGTACATCTCTCCTTCTGAGTCTTTACTGTTATGTTCCTATGCCCTGTTAATTATCACGTGATAAGATCGCCAATAGAACACCGAATTACGTGACCTTGGAATTGCCCCAAACCAGTGACGGTTTAACTAGTACGAGAAGCTTAGAGTCCCTATTATTTCTTCTCGCCTAGCCCTCCCCGTTTGAGTCCAGAGCACATTCTCAGCTCCCACTGTACGAATCATGTATTTCGGATATACGCAGTTTATATACAAGCAGCTCAGACTGCATCATACCATGAAATAGAAAATAACAATTATACAAGTTCAAGCCAAAGTGGCTGTGAGTATGAAGGAAGTAAATAGGAATAACTTAAGAATAGTAAATCGTATAATAGTAGTCAATAAATCGAATGGAAGCTTATAATAAAAGGAAAATGAATATACATATAATATACTTACTTAATAGTTATCCAATAGGAATACATGTAATAGTTCATAAATAATTCCTACCAGTTACTACTCATTTATTATTCATTCGGTTATAACACTTAAGTTTTCTTTTAGTAGAGAACAAAAGCCACTGTATACCACAATTCAGACTAGGAGAGTCTGTTTTGCCCTTTAACCTAGTGCTACATCAACGCTATTGAGGTTATGGAAAGTTGCAGCAAGTCGCCGAAGAAACGGAGGGTAAATCGCACCGGTTCTCTTTATTAATTAGCTGTGGTCAAGTGAATATCCATAACTGGATCTTCAATCCGAGTTTCAGAGTCACAACGTGTGTTATTGGTACGAGATTGTAGATTTCTAATGAATAAAGCTGGTTATCCGATTTGAATGTAAACAGAGAATCTTCAGAGATAAACATATCATTATCCAACATATCACACTGAGTTCTTGTATAGAGTCTAAGAGACAGAACTTAGTAACAGCTTAATCTTTCTGTGTAGCAACGAAACTCACCTTTGGCTCAATCTGTTTCAGTGGGAAGGGACAGTTATGATTAAACGGTACATGAAATTTTAGAACAGCTGACCACTGTTCTGTATCGAAGGACATCCTTATGAAAGTACCAACCTATTAGGAATCAGCCACGTAACTTACCATTGCCAATGATAAGAAGACAATCTAAACTACACTAAACAAAGATAGGTGGCAGAAGTATAACAGTACAATCATATTTCCTGCACTTTCAAGTTAATTAACTTTTCTATCATCCAGTTAGTTGGTATCCAATTCATATCAATAAATAGAAATACCTCAAATCAATAGCTTAGTTTGAATGTCATATACAATGAATCCTTAAAAAAAGAAACAGAGTTAACCTAATCAGACATTATACGTAAATTTTGTATGCATCTTTTTCAAGTTGCATACATACCCAGATATACATCATCAAGATTGACATTCCCAATTAACGTATGATCAATGTCAAAGCTAAATAACTAGTATCATTAGTAAGATCAGCTGATCAAAGAAGCTACATAACTTTATAGCTATCAACTAATGACAGTAATTTAAATCACATTTTCCTTATTTTTATATTACTCAGTTGGTTTACATATGATTTCAAGTCTAAAACTCATTGTTAATTCATACAAAAATACTGTAGCTCAAAGCTGGGTACATTAACTTGTGTAAGATAAGCTACTTTATCGAATGAGTTTATGTAGTGAATAACACAGTTGTGTAAATATTCATGTTAAAATAAACTATCGAAAGCCAGTTAGACTAAAGTGACCCCAGCTGAATAATGGATGGATGATGCTTATGGATGAAATATAGGTCCCATATTAGTTGAAAAGTATGAAAGTATATTCCAAGTCAACAGGAAAATCTTCACTTGAGAATCCCCTGATAAAGATTACTTTATCATTTATAAGGAAATATCCAGTCTAAGAACAATGCAATATATATATATATATAGCAGAAATAAATTCTTAACAGAAATCTTCGAAATCCATATTAGATCAATATACACCACTAGTGTATTAATTTCGCTACAGAATAACTGCGTCTTCTCATCAGTCATTGTAAAACTATTAACCATCGGTATTATTGGCTGATGCCTGAACTACATCAAAAACCGACCGAAGTTGCAAATAGTGAGCAATGGATTCCAACTCAATGTACATGGTGGTTGGTACCGCAGTTGTGATAGTTACATGATCATTATCAAAATATTGTAGTTGGTCTCGCATTAGTTAGTGTTTAGTCCTGAAGACAGTAATTTTTTCCGATAATTTACGCGAATGTTTTGCTTAAAATTAAGTATACATTTCCATCAGATTAAATGGCACTGTCCTGTTTAACAACCAAATGGTTATTATGAATTTGCGATTGGCTACACCAAAGAAAATAGGTCTACCTCGGAGTAAGAATAATAAACATAGTTAATAATTACCATTTATCCATTTGTGAAATTTGATTTTGGTCTCTTAGTCTAAAACCATTTTCCCATAATGGTAATCACGAATTATTTAGCAAATGACGATACACAGTGGTCTATCGGTACCTTACTTGTCTATTATAATTAACAACAGTCAAAATAGTTAAACCAGTTAAAGACTGAGAATTTATTTAACATCTGTGGATCCTTTCCTAGGTGATCAGAATGTTTCGATTGCTGGAAAATAAGTACACTCAACACCAAGTGCTGTTATAAAGTAAATCCTAGACAGGGACATTGAATATGAAGTGGATAGACTGAGTGTTGTCCAAATCGAGTTTGTTTCAGCAACCTGGTTAATTGTTGAATTATGGGTAGGGCCTGTACGTGGTCGGTGAGTTGAACTTATTTGGTTTATTACTTAGGAATGAATAAAAACAACAAAAAAGCTCAATATAGAACCCAACGTACAAGCAAAATATGAAGGTATATTTATAACAACAGGTTTTGCCATGCGAAATCTGACACTAAACCGACCAGTTAAACAAAGTCAGACACCCTTACTGTTAAAATAATGATATTTTCCCAATTGGCTTAGGTCACAAATTTCAATGAATATTACATACGATGCTGCCTTTCGAAAGAGCCTGATATACTCTAGAAGTAACGTCAGTTAGTCAAAACCTTAAACAAGAATTTGAGCTTTTCAGCAAAATTACTAAAAATCAGTTTAATATCAACGGGTTACTGCTTATGTATCAACAATATTAGGTTATATATAACCCTATATTCAATAAAAAATTTTTAAAAAAAAACAATAAAGTAGAAATAACGATGATGTGACTATTTATCAAACTCCCGACAATAAAATTACAAATTCGATCACGATTATAATTACTGCACTAAATAAAGTAGTTTTTAGACCTAAACTGGTGTAACGGATCACCAGCTAACACAACTTACATCTCAGAATGTATCATTTTTAACTGAATCATCTTAAAAGTAATTATGGTGTTAACGGCTGTGTCTTGTTAGTGATGTTAATAACTAGACAAGTAATCAATTGCGATTCACTCTAAACTTCTGAAATTTATAATCAGCCCAACATTGGTGTGATCTATCTTGATACAACTAATTCGTATAAAAAATGCGAGTCCATAAATATTTTAATCTGTTTATTACTATCAATGTACCCCTATTTTATTACGTTGGGTCACCGCTAATGTTTAAAAATATAAATTGGTGAAGGTTGATTTGTATTTGTTTTAATTATAGCTTTACACAGACTCTGACTTGACAATATTATGAGAAGTCCTCAACTAAGATATTTATATGCAAAACAGATTATGGATACCTTAGAGTAGAAGAGGAACAGGTGACGATTTACACACTTGGTTATGTATCCTCCTTAGAAACTATCATTCAAAATAGAGCATTCAACGAAACAACAGATATATAAATACATAAATGCTTCCATACATTTTGGGAAACGAAGAGATAAAGTGTCATTGTCAAGTAACAAAAAGATTACGTAACACTAAAATACAATATCAAGTATAGTGTACAAAAAAAATAGCTTATAGATAACTTGCTTAACAAAGTAAGGAATATGCAAAAACAATCATACTTGTACATATACAAAAAATGGGATAATACAATATGAAATATATATAGTGTACATATGCTAGGGAGTGTATATTGAACTGCTTGCTTGCTTAGTTAACCGGGTTATACAAGTGCTGATGCTTTTACTGAACTATTATTCACTAACTTCGTTTTTCACAGGAACGGGAGATGTATTCAATGCATACGGCTCTGGTACATAGTTATCTACAACAGATGGGTTATTACTAAGTGGTTCGCTGATCAAATCATTAGCTATTGTTTTGCCCGATAAAATAGCTTCACAGTCCGGTCGATGTTCACGAACAAGTGAGTTTAGACGAGAACGAAGCCGACGTGCTGCTTGTAGACACCCCTTAGTGGAGCCACGAATCTAAAATAAACAAAAGCATAATCAACTGAATCGATGAAAAAAATAAAATCAAACCTATTTTTGATGAAGAGATATAAATAAAAATGGTGATTGATCGCATAAATGAATATAGTTTACTCATGTTAGCCAATATTCTTCAACTTTGTGATACTTGTCCCAAGGAAATGATTGAACAATGCCCAAGAATTTGTCACAGTTTATACAAAACTCTTGGACTTACAAGGTTTGGTGCCATATATTATGCAAGCTTAACTGGGCCTCATTTACGAAAGAAACTTCTAAGTTAGTCATGCAGAGTTCAAGTATAGTCTCATTTGAATGTGTATTGGTTTGATTCATGACACCTCATAGAAGTAAACCGAGAGAGGAAAGTAATAAATAAGATAAAAAAAATATGGGAGGTGAGGAAACATCCACTCTAATAGAAATCTAAATATAAGAATTACAGATCAGAAAGAACTAACGAGACTGAAGAATGTAAATCATGGAATGACACTTATCTCAAGATATAAGAGATGTGGAATAAATGCAAGTGTTCAAATTTATCTCTTTCTATTCAGAAGTACAGTTTTCTCAGTTTCCCTGTACTAATTTGCCTTTTTATTAATCATCGATCAGGGTTAGGAAATTGACGGGAAAGGGGATTGTCCATCTGAAAACTGTTACTTTAACAGCCTTAGCATTAGTTACCTTGTGCACATATACTAACACTTCAATCCAATAATAATACGTCATGTGATGACTTAAAATTACGAACAAGCATTTTAATAACCTTGACATTCCTTGGAGAGATTTACACAATTTTGAAAAGCCTGCAACAACTCGTAATGCTAATGGAATTCTTCAAAAACCCTTATGTATTGAAAATTAGTATTATTTCTGTCAAACTATTACTAATGTTTTCTATTATTTTATAATGGTACTTACATTAGTTTCTTTAGCAGCATCTGACCAAAATTTATCTACCTCTATGAGCCAATCACTTAGGCAAGTGAAATGACATTGATTACTGTCTGAATAAGGATTGGAATATGTATCTGAACGACCATTTGGAGTGGAAGCTGCTTCTTCTAAGTATAACCGAAGTTCTGCAAGACGATGATAAAGATGACCCTCAGGACAATGAGGCATGGATTGACTAGTAGATAGAAGCGGAACCGAACATGCTGGACAAACCGATGCAGTAAAATGAACAGCTTCTTCGTGAACTAGCAAACCCATTAAAATTCGACACCCTGCCTATAAAGTGAAACGATAATTTTCAAAAATACTAATCTGACCAAATATTGATTAAGCAACATCAACAATCAAAGTGATTTTCAAATGAGAAACACGAACAGTTAAGAAATAAAGTACTACGATTAAAAACAATACAAAATTGCCTTGATGTACAAACATTTGCAGTGGTATTCAACTGATTCTAACTGCCGACTCAAATTGTTTAATGTATAGATGTCTTATCATTAGCTCTTATCAATGAGTGATAGACTGTAAACATCATGAGACGGATTTATCTAGTGGTTTTTTTGCTAGGCTACTATTAAGTATGAAGCCAGGGTAGACAAGAAACTCACTCATCAAATGTAAGATAATAACTTCGTACAGATCCATCAGCCATCGAATGTAATGTTAGTAACTGGTGAACGAAATGGTTCAGGTTACATTTATGATACGAACTTGCCTATGAAACATGGTCCTTAAAAAAAGTTGATATTAGCAGTACTTAAACACAGATGACTTCGAAGCACTTCTCGTGTATGTTTGGACTACTGAGTGAGCAATACTGAAGTTAGACTCACAATAAAAATAGCAAATCGGTTAATGAAATCGTGAACTATCATTGACTGAGATGGTTGGAACATATACTATATATGCCCAACTACCTTTTACAATTACTTTCGATGTTTACTAGTAAAAGAATATGTTGGAAGGCAGCTAGGAATGACTATATCAGGATGTTGTATTATTCCATGAAGTCGCTGAAAGTTAGGCTGATCAAAATATGTGGTTGGGGTCTGTAAGGTTATCGTAACTAGTGGTTTGAAACGTTCGGTGATATGGCCTAGAATCGGCCAAAGCGGTGCAGACGTACTAACTCTTTATTTTCCTCTTAGACCCTGAGTTTGAAATCGCTTTGTGCATTTTATCTCACAAATTCATTCATTCTCGAATCACATTGTATAAGATTAATCTTTCCTTCCACCGATACTACAAATACTTATCCTATTTTGGTGTCCATACTGATAATTTTATCTCACTGTGCTTATACGTTGTAAAAACTTGAACTGAAGTAGTTTTTACGTTATTTATGATTAACTGACTGAGAAGCCTATATGTTATGTTTACCACTATAAATGATGTCTCGTCACTAATGAAAACATTCATTATTGGTGACAACTGGCCTTTTGAGAAAAGCTAGGTTACGAAAGTGTTTTTCCTTTATGGCTTATTATATGGAAGTATTAAATTCTAATTAGAGCATGTAATATGTGCAAGTCATATATCATAAATAAAATTTAAAAGGAATGAAAGGAATTTGAGCATATATATGAAATATTGTTAAAACAATTGTGCTCTCGCGAAGTATTCGTTGAACGAATATCTTTTTCTTCGATTTAATGGAAGGTGAAGACAAAGTTCTTTCGCATATCTCCGACTTACTATTTATTTATTTGAACACATAAATATTGGTACAAGGGGGCACCAGATATATATGCGCCACACTTACTAGATAATCACTGCGAGAAAACCTTCCATTTACTGCTTGCTCAACATGAACAGCTGAATCAACCTCATCGTCGGCGCATAGACCACAAACCCAACTAGGTGTTAATGAAATACTGTTTATCCGAGGCAAATGACAATCCAAATGATATGCCCGGTTACAACGCCCACAGTGTGCGAGTAATCCAACTCCAAAACAGATAGCACATCCTACTGGAGAAGAATTAGATTCACCATTAGCTTCTCCACATGTCCATTTATCACCATCCAATTCTGCTAGAGAATCCAGAAAATCATTCGTATCAGCAGACAGTTGATTACTTGCAAAGTCATTATTTTTCGATAATCCCTGGAACAACAAAATATTTTAACCTGGGAGTAAATTCATCTGAGTTAAATGTAAAATATAAAAATACAAACTGTTCAAACACATTTGTAAACTTATCATACAGCTTGGCTCGTTAGACAAACTATGATAGCCATAAGGATGCTAACAAACCAGAATTCCAATGCAGCCTAGAAACATTCGTCGCAACTGATGTAGTCAGCTTTACTTTAATTTACGAGTAATATCGACTTAATGTTTTGTTTTGAGTATACACCATTCCCATCACTGTAAAATAAGAGATTATTTACTTTAGAATATGAAAAGTTTGGTTTCGTTCTACTAATACGTTACAATCACACTGAACACTAATCCATACGTTAAATATCAACGTAAACTGGATGCATAGGAAGAAACATTTAATGCCTTCCCGTAATAACTTTTACTCAAGTATTTACGCATAACCTGACCACTTCAAAATTCTCAATCACCAAAGTGTCAAATCAACGGTATGAAAATAACCTGTTCATATATCTCCTCCGAACTAATAACCATTACTGAATTCTACACATTACAAAACGATTTCGCTTTATCTCATACAAAAGCCAGGGCAAAACTCACAAGGAGTTAGACGTTTTTAAAAAGATTACTTAGTCCCCAGTTCGCTCAAGAACAACTCAACAAACGGTATTCACAAAACACAATACTTCTATAAATTAACAAGTGCTTAAACTATCAAAAACGTTAATTTATTGTTTATACACTTTAGGGTAAACAAATATATTTGTCTAAAAATTCAAGGACACTTATCATAAGCAGTAATTCTTTATTGATAAACAAAAATTCAAATTCTCCTGAAACTTACATTTTCTGTCTTTACAACTACCTGACTGCCAAATGTTTGATTATTGTCCTTGAGAGAAAAGGTATTTTTAGCTTGTTTGGGTAACCATGCTATTGTTCCAGAATATCGACATAATTCCTCAGCATCCCAGGTGCCAAGAAACAATGCTCGTGTATTGACCATAGTATGCCAGCCAATAACATTTTCAGACCATAAACTGGACTGTTTAACTCGATCTTTCAGTTTTTGATCCAATGAATCAATTACGGACGGCGAGTCACTCAAAACTTGTTCAGACAGTATTTGAAGCAAATCAAGTCGAAGTTTGACAGTTTCATACAACTGCACTAAGCTAGCAGGATCATTGTCTACATTTTGAATGAGATGACTGGAAAATGCCGACGCAAAATTTATCTGTTCCTTTATAGTGACAAAAAGATTAATTACATGTATTTTCATATTTAACATTTTATGTGCGATATATAAATCTAACTAAAAAAGTCCATGAAGAAACATTTATGGAAATCAAAAGAGAACTTCATAACGTTCCTAATTTTTTTACGAAATCTCTGCAACTACTATTTATAAAGCTTATGAATCTTTAGTCAATAATAGATTCAATAGTCAGCTTAACTGGGTCTTTTTACATGGATTGAAACAATGAACTTTCCGCGATTCCGCCACTATCTATATGTGAGTAGGTAATTAGGTAGCCAAGCAAGATAGACATGTCTCTTTTTGTAGGGGCGTATCTTGAATGAAATAAGAAACTAACATTTTCGTGGACTACATAGGTAGTGTCGCAGGTACGCAAAACGGTTAAATTAGAGTAAGCTAGTTAGCTACACATACCTGGAGCTTACGTATCAAATTCTCCGTCTCCTGTAGTCGACCAATATATGTATCTGCCTTTTTGTCAAGTTCATTCAAGAGGCATTCAGAACGATTTTGAATGCAATCAATGAGGGAAGACGTCCGTGACTTGATATCTTGACGAGCTTTTTCCACACTGAATATGAAGCTGTCCTCCATGCAAGTACGAGCGCTAGTAGCACAAAGTAAGGCAGAAGATAGTTTTTTTCCTGATTCTTTGAGGTTTTGAATGCCCTCTTCTAAAGGAGCCTTTAGTTGAACAGCTTTTTCTCCAACCCACCGATGGCTTCCATGATCTCTGTGAACTGATAGCTGACAGTCACGACAAGTTAATACTCCACAAGCCTCACAGAAGCATTCTAGTGCTTCGTTCGGATGTGCTTCACATCGTAGTGAGCCTTAAAATGGAGAAAAATTTTCAAACAATCAAGTATTTTAATTCATTTCAATAACAGGTGCCTTCAAAACAATTATATAAAGTGAAAAAATTTTAAGGAAATAATCGAACATTAACCAGGCTATGATAAGATGAATTGCAGTTAAACTGAGGATAGACTTCAAACTGTTAATCAGTGTCTAGCAAATCGCTGAAATGAGATATATCCCCTTCCTGAGTTTACCAATTCGAGTCTCAGGAATCACCAAAAAGTCGCTAAAGGCATCAAAGTTGAACCCTCTACTACTTGATTTTCCACAATTGGTTGCGTTTACACCCCTGATTTATATGAACTACATGAAAAAAGCTAAATTTATTGGAATATATTCATCTCTACTGACTTAGAACAGCACATCCAGTTATTGTAGGACTAGGATTGCTTGTAGGTAAGACATATAGTCATATAAAAAAATAGTTGGTTAAGGATTGTGGGAAAAGTCTGAAAAGGTTATTCTTGTATTTAAAGAGGCAAACTCAGAGCAGTGATCGAATCCCACCACTTCTGTTACAAGAAAATCTGTCGATGAGAGATGACAAAAAACCGAAGCTTATTCAAAATATTTTAGAAAAGTGTTTTCTACCGGCAATGAAGAACGACCAATTATTAATCGTAGTCAGGGCGGCTTGTCAATGGGTTCTGTAGTTATTGAGGAAGGAACTATCTTGAGATTAATTCAACATCTTACACCAGACAAGCCCAGTGGTCCGGACGATACTTATCATAGGCTTATGAAAGACCTGTCGGATGTAATGGATGAACCTATGGCCATGTTGTTTGATATGTATTTGCAACAGTCTAGACTGCCAAAAGACTGGAAAAACACAATAATCAGTTCGGTGTATAAGGCAGGGAGCAGAGACTTAGTTGATAACTATCAACCCGTTGGTCTAACCAGTGCAGTTGTCAAACTAATGGAAAGGATTATTCGGATGGCTAGTTTAAATTATGTGGAAGGGAAAAATCTTATATCCAGTAAACAACATGGTTTTAGGAAAGAACCATCTCGTTTGATAAATTCGCTCATTGCAAAAATAGATTGGGCCGCAGCGAAAGATAGAAATATTCCTATAGATGTGATTTTCATAAATCTAAGTAAAGCTTTTGACAGGATCACTCATCTGGTTCTTAAATCAAAACTGGGAAGTTTTGGAATCTTTTGTGAAGTCATAGACTGGGCAAGTGACTTTTCCAATGATACGAAAGAGTAGGCAAGGGTAAATACAGCTCTTTCAGCGTGGGGATCTGTAAAACGTGGAGTTCCCTAAGATACAATCCTTGGTACTGTTGTATTTACTTTGTGTAGATGGATTGCTAACTGTAGCAGTCATCCGCTCTACTTTCCGCCAATGATAAGGAGTGAAGTAGTTGAGTGTGTCGACCTCTTCACTTATCTTGGGAGCCTTATCAGCCCTTGTGGTCTGGTATGTGACGAAATGTCAGCACGGATACAGAAGGCTTGAATAGCTTTCGCCACCTTGCGTCATTTATGGCATAGGCGAAATATCCGTCTACCAACCAAATGAAGGTTTACTGGGCAGCAATTTGTTCCGTCCTACTTTATGGCTGTGAAAACACATGACCGGTGAGAGTGGAGGATATTCGTAGGTTACTAGTATTCGACCGTAGTTGTCTCCGAAGCATTGCTCGTATATCCTGGGACAACCGACTAAGTAATGCAGTTGTTAGGAAACGGGTAGTAGTAAGGATAGCGAATCAATTGAAGAAGTATTGAAACTTCATCAGCTGGGATGGCTGGGACATGTGTTACGTATACACAACCACTGACTTCCCCAACGAGCGATGTTTTATGATGTAGGAGAAGGTTGGAAGAAAGTAGACGGCCAGACCAAAACACGGCACCAATCTATGAATTCACTGACAACTGAACTGAGCCATGTTGGTAGGTGTAGACTACTTGGTTGGGATCCGAGAGACGATAGCAACCAATGGTTATAGACCTTGAATGACATGGCTCAAAATCGTTTGCGATGTCGCAGGTGCATCAACTATTTAGGTTCTCCCTAATTCTAATCTTCCTCATGTACCTGTTTTTTTCTTTCAATATTTATTCCACTGGATATACTCCTTGAATAACATATTCAAACCCTAATGCTTCCGATTACTGCTTATACCTTTACTACCTATACCACTATGGGATTTGAATTGACAATTATATCTATGTGCTTTTGTGGTATGTCAACTCGAACTGATGTATGTACATTCGAAGTTCTACGTTGCTGCTGACTGACTCTGCCGGTGAGGGACCGACATGTTAAAAAGTCTCTCCGATTTATCCTGTGAAGGCAGATTGAAACACCTTAACCTATTTTCGACGTCTTACCGCAGATTACGGTGATCTAAGATTGGGTTATCGTATACCGGAGGGTGACCTTGGTTTTAATGTCTGATCTTTTCCTTTCATTTAGGACTGATAGTCTGAGAGGATATTCTAAGAAAGGTCAAAAGATCAAATCGTTTACGTCTGGTATTAAGTTTCTCGCACCAAGTAGTGAATAACTGGGATCCTCCATCAGAACGTGATATAAGCACATTTTTTCGGCAGATTTAAAACGAAATTGGACCTCCAGTGTTAGGAAATGAAATGATTAATATAGCTCGATGGAACTCCTAGCTTAATGTTGAAGAATGAAGGTGAACATATTGAATTCTTAGTCCAATTCGATGAACCAACGACATTGATTTATTCATTACCTTTATACTGTAGAAATGTGGCGTGATACACGAAAAATCGACTTGCTAGTAATAACATAACCATAAAAATTAAAACTTGAGTTGACAAACATAATTACAAGTATCGTAGACGTTGTTGATAAATAATTGAACAAAGTTTAGAAATATTACATAAGACCAACCTAGATGTTCGCTTTTTGAAAGCAGTGTGATGTTATGGTTACGTAATGGAGGCATTCTGTTATGACCCTTTAGGCATTCTCCACATAACCATATGTCACAATCTTCGCAATGTCCGATTGATTTCGTCTGTTCTCCATTGTCATGGCACCAATTACATGTGGGTGACTTATTGGTGTTTTCGGAATTACAAATGTTAGGATTACTGATAATCTTGTGGAAATATACTAAGGATAATCAAATTTACCTTTTGGCTTGATTCTTTGCATAAAATGCAACGGTATACATCATCCTTACGCATATATTCTGCACATGTTACACATACTACATGCAGACAAGCAGGTAATATACCAAATACTTCACGACCTGAACATACTGAACAAACAAGAGGATTTTCTGAAGAATGTTCCAAATTTATCTTGAAGCTGTTACCACAGTCCATCTGCGAATGAGAAGGTAACCTTGAGATAGGTTAAAGCGACAATTTGAATCTGTTGTTGATAATATAAAACAAAGTTAATCAAAGTTGACTTCGCCATTAGCAATGTCACAACGAAGTCAACCAATCTCGTTTCAACTTTTATTTTAAATCATTTGAGATATAATGATGTTTATAGAACTCATGGTATTTTTAAAGAACGGTTAATTTTGTAAAGTCTTGAAGATTTTCACAAAATAGCATATCCTGTGTTCGGAGCCAGTGTTATCCAGTTCCACCACTTTCCTTTCCGCTCCAAGTGCCTGTCAGTCATATCCATATTATTAGAGCCACAAAGCTCTGACTCACTAGTTCGATAGGTCTCCGTTTTGGGAATCTTATATATAAAGCTCATTCCCGGTATATGGTCAGACGGTGGCTAAGAACTCAGCAAAATGAATATTTTAAGAGCTTATTCCGTCCGTTTTTTGGTTAGGTAGCAATGATGGGAATAACTAGCTTAAAAAGCACAGTCAAACTTCTTGGCTATTGCTCAGCAGGCCACATGTGAGACTTTCATTTCATCCCCTTAATAGCCAACCTAAATATTCGACGCCTTTGTACTTCCTAAGCTTTAGAAATAGAAGTTAACTGCTGTGGGAATGGCTGTTGTGCCGTAGAATATATGGGAGGTTGATGACTACAATTGGTGCGTGTTCATAAGCAAGTTATTAAGGGTGTAATGGTAGCATATTTGTAAGAAATTATCATCAAACTTTGCAGTCACGTGTTCGTAAAAATCATGTGAAAACAGTGATCACCTTAAGTTCTACACACAAAAATTATAGTCAAATTAGTATGGCAAGTGACTTTCAGATACTGTACATACTGAACGCTTCGTTACTGTTTATTTCAATTTGTAATGGTAAAAGTGATACAAGCTGCTCTACTGATCTCAAATTTCAATAACTTTGGCCCATACCATTGTGTCTCAGTCCAATATTATTGTCTTATTATTGACGTTAATTACAATTAAGTTAAAACAAATGGCATTAATAATAAAATAAAAACAATGAATTTCACGTAATGTCAAAAACTACATAAAAATGATAATATATATCTTACTGTGTAGCTTTTCAGCCATTAGTTTAAATTTATAAAAAAAACTAGCTCATCATACGTTGTCACATAAGTTTCGTTTCCCGTAAACTTCTGCACTACTTCGCCCATTACATGTTGATATGACAAATTTATATTCCGAGTTCAACGTTATCGCAGATATTAACACACCTGTAAGTTGTAAAAAGCTAATAAGAACCTAACAAAATAAAATGAATTCATATCATTATGCATCAAAATTTATCTTTCTTGGTTCGCATAATTTTATTGTTTTTATCACCATATAAGCCATGACTCAACATCTTAATTTTATAGTATTTCCGAGTGAAGTTATGTTATTCACTTAAACTGACTCCTGTAAGGTACATTTACCATGAATTTTGAACTTACATTGTGATTTTAGTGGCGATAGACTTTGTAAATAACTGGGGCATTATCAATGCGAACTGCTTTATTTTCAATTAAAACCAGTGATTGTTGCGGCAGATAAATCCTTAAAATATATAGTTCTGTAAGTCTTTAACATAGATGGTGACCTCAATAGTTTCACTGGACAAACCCAGATGAAGGCGCTCGAGTGTGCAGCAGTCCCGAGTCACCAGTGGGTACGCTGTGCTTCTATTCCCTTTTAACTGTTAGTCAGCTTAGATCAAACACGTCTCGACATGTCGATAACCTTCCAAATATATCTTCGAACCACTTCATTTCTCACTTCCAATCTGACTGAAGTGAGTGTACTTCGATTACAAGGGTGTTACTTCTAGAGGCGTTATCAAACTTTGAATACCGACGTGATCCTGCACATTAACCAGTTCTCTCCTCGTAGGAACACTATATGTCATTCTTTAATTCATATTTTTACGTATCGTGGTATTTTTGGATATTTTCAGATATTTTTTGTCACATTTTATCTTCACCAGGACGGAATATACGCCTGAGTGACTTAAGGTCAAGACTCGCCGCCCGCTCTCAAACTGTAGCCCGACAATGTAGAAGCCAGGTCCTGCCACGCTGAGGCTGAGGTCTGCAAACACGATGTGACAGACACATCTGCACAGTTCCTCAGGGTCGCGAAAGCATTATCGAGCGACAACAACGGGTACGTCACAACTAGTATGTTCACTAGTGATAACTCGTAACCTTACGGAACTTTAAAAGAGGCTATTCTTAGGTGCGATGACCTAAGCGACCGACCAAGACTAGGACAACTTTTCTACAACATTATTCAGCAACAGAAATATTGCTACATAAGCGTGAGATCATTGGTCGACAGACATTTTTGATGGGTTACGTTCACGATTGATGTCATCTGTCGCAGACATTATTACTTTACCGCTCACGATGCTGCTCAAAATGTACCTTCACCACACTGAACTCCCTAGAGATTGAGAAGATGCTATAGTCATTCCTATATTTAAGTATAAAAAGAGTTCGTGTCTGACTACTGAAGTGACAGTCTGACTGTCATAGTATTCAAGTTACTTTAAAAAAACTCGTTATATGTTACTAATTTGCTATCTATCGAGCAACGCGGGTTTCAGTACAGCTCAACGAACTTACTGATTACGAATGAGAATTGGACAGCAGCCCAGTATAATGGATAATCTCTTAGTGTGATATTCATAGGTTTCAGCAAAGGATTTGATGATGTTCCTCACTTAGGTCTTATTCAGAGGCAGGCACCGTGTAAGAATTGCTGAGAAACGTCTTTCTTTGCCAAAGGCAGAGAGTGAGGGGAAGTAGGATACTATCTGAATGGATGCCAGTCGAAATTGGTGTACCGCAAGGCACTGTCTTAGACACCCTTACTTTCTTCTTCACGTTAATCAACGAATTGCCACAACTGCTAAAGTCGTCGACAATATTGTTTGGATATGATGTCAAAATCTGGAGAACAGTAAAAAGTGAGGCTTATCATTTTGATCTTCAAGCTGATCTAGAAGAATAAGTTTAATGGTTCCAATGTTGATGTTTTGCAATTACCTTTAAAAATACTGTGCTAATTCACATTGGACACGGTAATAGTTACCAGAATACTATCAACGGTAGATTGCGTCCATGTATGCAGGGATACAATGAACTAGGGGTAATGGTTAGTCACAATTTAAATACAATCACTCAATAGAACGCATCAGACGCCTAACGTTTTTGAGCGTTATAGTCACTTCATCAGGCACCCAATCGCTTTGATGAGATGTTTCGAGTCTTATATGGCAACTACGTAAGATCATACCTATAGTACCATCTCCAAGCAGCCGGTTCATATCTTAATTAGGATACTTACTCAATTGAGCGTGTCCAGCGTGTGGGAACAAAATTGATGGAGGATCTCTCTAAACCCTTACGATGAGCTCTTAAAACACCTAGACCTTCTCTACTTGTTGTATCGTAGTACGCAAGGTGACTGTAGCGGTAAATAAATCCCCAAACTAAATAGCTCAATAGGTTTTCGACATTGGATGCTGACCATATGTTTTAGTGGACTCATCTAGCTGAAGGCGCTCGGTCATGCATCCGCACCAGATCACGTGCTGTCACGCTGTGCTCAACAACAATCGCAATCACTAGCCAGATTAGATCAGAGATTCCCGATATATTGGTTATTGCCAAATACACTCTTCCGATCTCCTCGACTCTGTCTTTTGATTTCTCTCGGTGGGAACAAAGCATATTAGAAGGTGTTATTGGTAGAAGCGTTGTCAAACACTGAATACCTGTATCATCCTCATTGGTGAGACCGTCGTGATCTGGTACACCTAATTTCAACTGTGAGTCTGTTCCTTTTTGGGATTTTTATATATCATTACCTTATTTTTTTAAACATTGTGATTTTTTTTTTCGTGTTTTTCCTTGGATATATATATATTTTTTCAACTCGTTCATTATCGTACTTCATATTTCATCATGGCTGAACAGACACCCAAAGTACTTAAGCTTAAGACTTTGTCCCCGCCTTCGTTTCAACTCATGCCTTTCTGGCCCGACAATATCGAAGCCTGGTTCTGCTACGCAGAAGCTGATTTCTCCAAGCACGGCGTGATCGACACACGTGCACAATTCCTCGCAGTAGTCAAGGCACTACCGCGCGAATTCAACAGGTACGTAACACCTAGTATGTTTACTAGTGATGTTTCCGAACCTTACGAAATCCTTAAACGTTCGATTCTTAAACGAGGAGACCTAACCGATCGACAAAGGTTAGATCAACTCTTCAATAACATCGACCTGCAACACGGTTCTGCGACTGACATGTTGCAAAGAATGAGAGAAGTGATAGGCCTAAGGACTTTCGACGAAGGTCTATTTAAACAACTTTTCTTATCTAAACTTCCTCAACAGGTGCAAGCGGTTCTGGTCTCATTTCAGAACAACGCCTTAGACGAGCTAGCTGCATCTGCCGATCGTATTTTAGAAATAACGAAATCGTCTACTTCAGAGGTATTTTCCGTCAAAGAAAAGCCTCACGCGACTCAGAATGACATAACCGAGTTATGTCATACACTCACGCGTTATCTTAATCTTCGTAACGACCGTAGTCGCTCACGCAGTCCACGTAGAAGCATTTCGCGTAAACGATCTGTCTCTAGACCACGAGAGACGGATAACCCTGACTGGTGCTGGTATCATAACCAGTATGGGAAATCTTCCAGAAATTGCAGAAAACCCTGCAATTTTCCCAACACGAAAACGACTGACTCGAAAAACAATTCGGGAAACTTCTAAGCCGGCACGCGTTAACGGCAACCGTAGCCGGCGAACATAGCCGTCTGTTGTACGTCACAGATGTGACAACGAGAGTTCGCTACCTCGTCGACACTGGCGCAGAAGTTAGCGTTCTCCCAGCAAATCATAACGACCGGCTCCACGAATCAACTCTAAACTTACAGGCGGCAAATGGAAAACCAATCGCCACGTATGGCAAAAGGTACGTCTACCTTAACGTGGGTTTACGCAAACCCATCCATTGGATTTTCGTTGTTGCAGATGTTTCTATGCCAATCATTGGTATGGATCTTCTACAACATCATAATCTAATCATCGACACGCGCAAACGGAGGCTAGTAGATGGAAACACTAAATTATCCGTTTGCGTAACTTCTTTTTCTGGTTGTAGATTATCCCCAGTCACAGTTAAGCATATGATAGACCCACTCTATCAACCACTACTCGACAAGTACCCTGGGATACAACAAGCTCAAACGAAACTACCGTGTGTAACCAGCAATGTTACACATCACATCACGACTACAGGACCACCTGTATTCTCTAAAGCACGACGACTAGCTCCGGAAAAGCTGAGGTTAGCGAAAAACGAATTCGATCATATGATAGACTTAGGAATCATACGACCGTCAAACAGCCCTTATGCATCTCCGTTGCACATGGTCCCTAAAAAGGACAGCAACGATTGGCGTCCAACTGGTGACTATCGGCGATTGAATGCAAAAACCATTCCCGATCGTTACCCGTTGCCTCACATTCACGATTTGACAGCTACCTTGAAAGGTACAACTGTCTTTTCAAAAATCGACTTGGTTAAAGCGTATAACCAAATTCCCATGGCCACTGACGACATACCGAAAACAGCTATCATAACTCCTTTCGGACTCTATGAATTTTTGCGAATGCCGTTCGGTCTAAGAAACGCTGCGCAAACTTTCCAAAGATTCATAGACGACGTCTTTCGAGGCCTCAACTTCGTACATGCGTATGTTGATGACTGCTTAATCGCAAGTCCGGACAGAGAATCACATCTCAAGCATCTGGATCTTGTTTTCGAACGATTACAAAAACATGGCATTACTGTAAACGTTCAGAAATGCCAATTCGGAACCGATTCGTTAGATTTCCTAGGACACACTATCGATGCTCAAGGCATTCGACCTCTTAGGACCAAAGTGGCGGCCATTCTGGATTACCCAGAACCGACCAACGTCAAGCAATTACGCACGTTTAACGGCCTGGTAAGTTTCTATAGACGCTTCATACCGAAATGCGCATTACTTATGAAACCTCTTACTGACCAACTGCGTGGAAATGCGAAATCCATTAATTTGGACGACACCGCACGAAAAGCATTCTCCACAGTTAAGGAACTGATCGCTAAAGCAACAATGCTCGCACATCAGGACACTGAAGCACCCATTAGTATCGCAGTAGACGCATCCGACTCGGCAATCGGAGGAGTCTTACAACAATGGATTAACAACTCCTGGCAACCCTTGGCATTTTTTTCTAGACGGTTGCTAGACACCGAATCGAGATACAGCACATTCGGTAGGGAACTCCTAGCTATGTATTGTGCTGTACGGCATTTTCAACACTATATCGAAGGCCGCGAATTCACTCTATTCACTGACCATAAACCGCTCACTTTCTCGTTAAGCTCTCCTTCTGACAAGTACTCTCCCCGTGAGTCTCGACAACTGGACTACATTTCGCAGTTTACTTCAGATATTCAACATATTTCTGGAGCAAACAATGTAGTTGCAGACGCCTTGTCTCGAATAAACTCCTTGAACAGTTTCCAAGGAATCGACCTTCTTAAACTCGCCCAGCTTCAAAAAGAAGACACTGATCTTCAGCAAGAGTTATCGTCCACAACCCTTAAACTACGCATCAAACAGATGGGAACAGGTAAGGAAACCTTACTTTGTGACACATCTACAGGTAGAGATCGCCCAATCGTTCCGAAACATTATCGACGCAATGTCTTCAACACATTGCACAAACTTTCTCATCCAGGTGTTCGTGCAACCATCAAGCTCATAGCAGAACGCTTTTGCTGGCCTGGTATGAATAAAGACGTGAGGGAGTGGGCACGCTCCTGTGTAAGCTGCCAAAAATCTAAGGTCATCAGACACAATAAATGTCCCTTAGGCTCATTTAAAACTCCCGATGCTCGTTTCGACCATGTTCATCTGGATTTGGTAGGACCTTTACCAGATTCAAATGGATACTCTTACCTCTTGACCTGTGTAGATCGTTTCACTCGATGGCCAGAAGCAGTACCTATCAAGGACATCACTGCTGAAACAGTGGCCCGAACCTTCGTCGAACGATGGGTAGCAAACTTCGGTTGCCCGTCAACCATCACCACAGACCGCGGACGTCAGTTTGAGTCTGAACTTTTCCGTCGTCTGACCACACTATTAGGAAGCACTCGCTTCCGAACGACCGCCTACCACCCACAAGCAAACGGGTTGGTAGAACGCTTTCACCGACAACTAAAAGCTTCACTATCAGCTGCAAACGTTTCACAGTGGACCGACGCTCTTCCACTCGTCTTACTAGGTATCCGCAATGCAGTGAAAGCTGACATTGGATACACTGCGGCTCAACTCGTTTATGGAACGACACTTCGACTTCCAGGAGAATTCGTGGATCCTTCATCCTCTTCAATGAGCATGGATCTAACCTCCTACACGAACAGGCTTACAAACGCAATGCGTTCAGTTAAACCTGCTTCCACTCGACCTCAATCAACTGATGTTTTCATTCAACCTGAGTTACGATATAGTACACACGTTTTCGTTCGTCGAGACTCGCATCGACGACCTTTCGAATCAGCATACGAAGGACCTTTCAAAGTTCTTCAACGCGAACCGAAGTACTATATAATCGATAAGAACGGAACCAACGATAGCATCAGCATCGATCGCCTCAAATCAGCGTATTTAGAAGGAAATCCTATCTACGTGGATTTTCCTTCGGTACAATTGAACGACACGACTCCGATACTTATAATACCTCATCCGACAACCAACACACACGATGATACTTCGACAGTATCCGAAAATAAACTTAAAACGACACGTTCTGGAAGAAGAGTAAGATTTCCAGAACATTTAAATGACTATTGCACGTAAGGCACTTCTCGACATTTTCTATATTATTAAAAAAATTTTTTTTAAAATAGGCTTATATATTTTCAATTCTATTTTTAAAAAAAAAAAACAACAAAAAAAAAACGATTTTTTTAACGCTGTTACGTTTTCATGAGTTTATTTTCCCTTTTTTTTACGCACATACGAGTGTATTTTCGACATGCACTTACATTTTCTTTCTTCTTTTCCAGGACGGCTGGAAAAGAACGATGACGTTTATGAGGATACGAAACTTTCATTGTACATTTCTTTTTTTACTATGTTGTACTCCGGTCCCATATAGTAAGGAAAGACGACCAGACGCTGCTAAATTTAGTAAGCTATCAGAAGAGTGTTTACCAACGACAAACTCGTTGGGTTTAAACTTCTGGCTGGCCACGTCTTAGGGTCATCACTGCCCCACTAGGGGGGGAGTGATCTGTAGCGGTAAATAAATCCCCAAACTAAATAGCTCAATAGGTTTTCGACATTGGATGCTGACCATATGTTTTAGTGGACTCATCTAGCTGAAGGCGCTCGGTCATGCATCCGCACCAGATCACGTGCTGTCACGCTGTGCTCAACAACAATCGCAATCACTAGCCAGATTAGATCAGAGATTCCCGATATATTGGTTATTGCCAAATACACTCTTCCGATCTCCTCGACTCTGTCTTTTGATTTCTCTCGGTGGGAACAAAGCATATTAGAAGGTGTTATTGGTAGAAGCGTTGTCAAACACTGAATACCTGTATCATCCTCATGACCAACTATTGACATTCCGTTTCTTTAATTACGATTTTGGTGTTAATAAATCTTTTTGCCCTACTGAAACAATTGATATCAGCCCCTACAGTGAGAATTTTCAACGAGAAGTTGGACCTTCACTGAAAAAAAGCTGTAAAGGTTAACAGAGGTCCACCAACATACCATACTTATTACTGAAGTCTGAATACCATGGCTCTTCGTAAACTGGGGAAACATTAACCTTCTAATAATCTCTAGATTTCATTGGGAATAGGGAATTCGAGTGGCTGGACTACTTACTTAGGACTTTTGATGGCAGAGGCATCAGTCTGTCTATACAATCTAAAAATAAAGATATTGAGTATTAGATGTTCCGCAAACTACAGTGACCTAGAAGTCCCGATGACAACCTTGGGGTGAACGTGGTAATGCCTTTCCGCTATTTTCATTTCCTAATGTACGTGCTATGTATTTCGCCATCGCGTAATACTGAATCATATACCGAAAAAGTGGGCATACAAAAATTAGTGGCCTGCATCACTAATTTGTATTTTGATGCTGTTCGAAATGAAGCCTGATATATTACTGCCTTTTTCATTTTACCGTAAGAACCAGCTTTGTGTATTTCAAGTTGTTGTCGTAAACTGCAAATTTCCTGCTGTCGTCGGGGTTTCGTCCTCAGACAATGTTGAGGTCTCTGATGAGATGTTATCCAAGTTCGGTCCAGACTTGCCTCGAAGATTGACCGTTCAACTACCAACCCGAGTGATTCCGGCCGAGTCATTGAGACTACAGATTATGTAACCTGATTCATTCTAATTTTATAACGAAATAGGACTCCGATCGACCCGGTTCTTTTGCCTCTTTTGGAAAATAGTCTGCATTACAGGTTGCGTAAGTTCTGACACTGATTGTTAAACTCTCCAGAGATGTCACACACCATGGTTGGAACAAAGCAGACTATTCGAGCGCTTGGAGATTACTTCAGTTTACTAATCGTCGAGGCCATTTCAGCATCTGGAGAAGCGTTCTCCATTCAACACACCAGGCAATCAATGTAAGATGTTTTTATTATGCAGCTCAGTTGGTCATGTTTTTCCTCGTCATATATTTAGTTCTAACACAAAGTCAGTTAACCATCTGTTAGATCTGATTTAAGCTCGTAAAACTCGCAAGGAACTTGATTTTATGAATGCGACCATCTGCCTACAATACTCATTTCCTTGGTTTAACAAGTTGCCCCTAAAAGTGAATCAGTAATAAAATATGTCAGTTCAAGTGTGAAAATCACCTTTATCTCCCCATAACTAATCTCAGTTATTAGTCTTTTCATTGAGATCAATTTTTTGGATGAAGTCTGTAATCGATAATCATAATATTTTTGCAGGTTCATTTAAAAGCTTATTCATCAAACCATCTTATTTGGAGTGTTGAGCATGTTCTCACTCATTGGTATGGAGTTAACCGACTCTTTTATTTCCATGAACTGTTCTGATTGAGTCAAAACTTGACTGAGTTGGCTGAACCAAACCATGGAACTGATCTGTGGCGTTTTTCCTATCCGATCTTCATACTGTTAGTGCTTCTTTTTGACAGATGACCAAAATGATCGAATTGCTATATTTGAAAACTAGTCATAGTAATGCAGGTACATTCAACCTTGTAGATCAACATGTGGCGTAGGGCTCCATATCTCTATGCTAGCTCCTGTGTTATGTATTTCGCTACTGTCGAATCTTTTGAGATTGAGATAGTAACTTGTCAAAGCTGTTCTAGTTAATTACAACCTTGTCTTATGCATGTCGATACGCCTTTTTGAAATTGTAAAGATTATTCATGTCTTATCATATTTTAATCTGCTTTCTGGATGTAAATATCCATTTTCGACACTTGTTCGACTTCACAGCATTCCACCTATTAACTACTTTTCACTTCATCCACATTCTTAGAAACTTCATATTTAGACAGTTTTCAGCATCTATTTTGTTCTGAATTGTAGTTAGGATTATTTATTGAAACCTTTTTAGTCATCTAAAATTATCTTGTTTTGAATTACTTAATTTTACAGTTTAAAGGAAGATTATGACATTCATCCACATCTCAACGACCTAAGTTTTCCCTCTGAGTCATTCAACAACAGTGATAATCTTTGGTCATGTGAACTTATTCGGTCACTCACTGATCAACCTGTTTTTAAAGTGAGTTTCATAACGACAAATTGTAAAACCCAAGTTTTGATTTGGTACTATTGAAAATAGTGATAAATTGCGTAATTCATGCTCATATCGTAAAAGTCAAAGGAGGCTGACCGAAGACAAAACTTTTGTGCCAACTGTTAACGTCCGGTTACATTCGATTATACGGATAGTTCAATTATAGGAGTGCCTAATGTATACTTGGATTCAGCGTGACCTACCTTTTAGTGCATTTTCTAACATATATAGCTTGGATTGCT